TCTCCCTCTCTCTCTCTCTCTCTCTCTCTCTCTCTCTCTCTCTCTCTCTCTCTCTCTCTCTCTCTCTCTCTCTCAGGTTGGACGCAGCACTTCTCTCTCTCTCTCTTCACTCTTATCAACTCTCTCTCTCTCTCTCTCTCTCTCTCACTCACAGGTGGACGTAGCACTTCTCTCTCTCTAAGGCTAGAAGTAATCAGGATATGAACATATTAGTTTCTTTTTTTTAAGATTTTTTGGGATTGTTTTAATCTTTATTTTTTCATATTTTCATATTTTTGAGGCTCATAGTCTTCTTCTTCTTTTTTTTTTTTTTTGGGTTTCAATGAAGCTGTTTTTTCCATAATATATATATATACACACTATATAAAAGTTAAAATATTTAATTAGTTGTTTTGATTTGTACATTACTTTTTACATAATATTTGTAGATCTAAGAGATTGTTTCTGATAAAATGGATCAAAAACTAAAAATCTTATAAGCACTACACATTTGATTACATAACGTATCTCTTACATTTATTTTGGCTAAAGATCTCATGCATATTTGAATTACTAAATCCGCTTATTCAACTGAGATATAGCCTAGAAATTGAAAATGTAATATTAAAGATCTATTTTGATGTCGTGTTACTTGCCCCAGAATGGCTTTGGTGAGCTGGTTAGTTTTGGTTGCCGTGTTGCTGACACAAGTATTCACAGCAACCCTACACATACTATCCAGAGTGATTATGAAGGGTGGAACCTTCATTTTCGCGCTAATCACTTACTATAATGCAGTTTCTGCTCTATCGATTGCCCCTCTTGCTTACTACTTTGAGAGGTTTGTTAGTTTTTAATGTGCTCATTTGGCTTTCTTTTTAATATTTTTACTGCCTATAGCAGATGGAGCTTACTCCTAGTGTTTTTTTTTGGGTTAATTTGCAGATCTGCTGAAAAGAAATTTGGTTGCACAGTTTGCTTCTGGCTTTTTGCTAGTGCTCCAATCGTGTAAGCCATATATAACTTGTGGTTTTGACTATACATATAAAACAAAATATATCAAACTGTTTACAATATATATTTGCAATATATGATATCTGATTCTGCATTTTACTATTATAGTCTCCATGATACCACAGCCACCTTTGCCACTAACTTATACAACTTAATTCCCATATTCACTTTTCTCTTGTCACTCATCACCGGGTAAGATATGTATATCAAAACTTTGTTTATCGTTATTGTCAATTTTTTTTTATACAAATTTTCATTATTTTATTTTCGAATTGAATATATGCTTGCAGAACAGAGAAACTAGACCTGCGAACCAAACAAGGAAAAATAAAGACTTTTGGAGTGTTGCTGTCGCTTGTTGGAGCACTAGTTGCATCCCTTTACAAGGGAAATGAATTGTATATTGTTTACCACCACCAACACAGGGACTCTCAGACGGTCA